AATATTAAAAAAAAAAAAAAAAAAAAAAACAACAAAAAAAAACAAAAGAAAGAAGATGTATTTCACTTGTTTTAAAGTTTGCTGTTTGGAATCAGTGGTCGTATTTCAATACTCCACCCCTCAATGTTTTAGTGCAACTGTATTTCATGGAGAGGCAAATTTCATCAGATCAGCAAAGTAACACCACACTATTGCATGTTCTGATTAGACAAAACAGAAATCTTGCTTCCTAAACAAAATGCATCACATTTCAGTGATTTATTCAACTTATTGCAGTATAGATATTACTTCCCTGTGAGAAACCTGAGCAGAAGCTTAATGAGTATATAGGGAACTTCTAGGTATTGCTTATTTCAGGGTGACACAGAGCTGACACTTCATTTCACTCTGAAACCCTTTCCACAGAGGAGCATTTGCAACAAAACCGGAATTTTACTCAGTTCTCTCCTTCCATCAGGTTCTTCTGAAGAAAGACGAGTCTATAAAAAGGCCTTGGCTAAGATATTTGGAACGAGCATCACCGAAGGACGCACAGAATCCCCCAGTGGAAGATCTTCAGAGACAGTTAGAAACCCTGGGATTGCTGGGAAATTCAAGCTGGCTGAACCTCCAGTTTTTGGCAAAGACATTAACCTCATCTTGGTTCTCAGTAACCTCTCTTCTGACCGCAAGTCCGTGAAGGTGGACATGAGTGCCTCAACCGTCCTGTACACGAGGAGAACAGTGGCAGAGATCCTGAAGGCAACCACTTCTGTGGACCTTGGGTCTAAACAAGGTAACTTTTAATGTCCCTATGGAGCCAATACAGCTTTCTTCCTATCCACAGGAAGGCAAATGGAAGGAAGAGACATCAATGTCATACCTATATCAGCCTTGTAATGCAGCTACTCATTCCATCTCTTAATAGCATTGTTTATGACTATATCTTACATGGTTTTCCTCTGAAAACTTTCACTACTTCAAGAATGAACTGAAGGTCTCATGAGATGTTACATAGGAGGCTACATTGATGTTATAGCTCCAGAAGCAACACTGTACATGTGTGTGTATCATGGTATGTATGTGAATATATGTGCATGTGTGTCTGTGTGGTGATTATTACATATACATAGGAGCACATCCTACTCTTCTAACAAATCAAAGTCTGATGAATGCTCTCTGGCACTTAACAGGCAACACTTTAAAACAAATCAACTAGGACAAAGTTTAAAAGTTACAGTGAAACTCTCTCTTTTGAAGAGTCAAGGCCATTGAAAGTATTACAGAGATCTTTTTCATCCCCAGTGGCTACAAAGATAAACATTTTTCCCATAGACAGCAGAAAAGTTGTAGAACTATAATGAGCAGCTGACCAGGTCACTTGAAAAGGATCTCTTGAAACTTGACAGAAAATTTCTTCTTGACTGAGATAAAACAAAGAGGTTATAAGGAGGGAAGAGATAAACAGATAAAAGTGGTCAGGAACCCAGTGAAATGCAGATGAGTTCCAGGCCAAAATCCTCCATTCTAAACTGTAGGGGTCAAAGGAGTTAGAGTAGAAAAGGATCACCAGAAGAGGGAAATACATAACCAGTCTCACAAGAAGGCAATACAGACAGACCACAGCTCTCTTGTCTTTTTTTTCTCTTTGACAGTTTCAAACCTCTCATGATAGCTCTTTTCTTCATCTTTCTTTGAAAACACAATGGTTCCTAAACGTATGTCTGAATTCCAGGGAAGCACATCCGGGTGAAGATTCCTTATACTCATTATGGAAAATATCTGACTACTGACAAAAGGATCCAAGTTACTGCTTTGTGTGAAGTCATGCACATGCGTGGGCTGAAGTTGCTGGTGGAAAAGACAATCATTTTAGAGGATACAAACATTATCATTAAGGTAAACAATTCTCTCCCTGATGTTCCAAACAGACACTAAAGTTTATTTCTGGAGCTCAGCTCTAAAGATGAGAGTTTGGGGGTAAATGCATTAGTTTAGGCTGCCATTTCAGATGTTGCTCCAAAATTCTACCTGCTTTAAACAAGAAAGCAAAGATGTGAGAGGTCATTTTGAACCTTGGCCTGAATCTGCCCCCTGTTCTTCAGGGCAGCTCTCACCTTCTTTCTTTCCCAGTCACATGCCACTGCTTTACACTCACAGAACTTGTTTTCATTTCATGTATTCTGGTTATTGACAAGTGCTTCTGCTGCCTCTAAATAACTTTGCCTACTCCCAAAATACAGATTTAAACCCTTATTTCTAGTCTATGCTAGGGTTGATTCATATTGTTTTAACACTTTAATCCTAGTCAATGATGTGCTGAAAAAAGCTACTCAGCAACCCATAGATCAGACAGGTTTCATGGGGTGTGTCTGTGCAGTCAGGACTCTGTTTCACTTATATGGTGCACAAAATATTGCAGACTTACAGTATTTGTATATTTAGCTAAGCCAAATCCAGCTTCAAGCATTAGGAAAGGCATATCAGCTGTCAGCTGAATGTCACTCACAGCTCAGCTGAATTCTGACTCCAGAAAAGTGTTAAACAGTGAATGATCAGAAATGTGTCTTTGTCCTTTAGCTTCCTCGGCGAATTGTAGTGAACAGAGCTGTGACTCTTGAGATCTCATATGCCAACCCCCTCCCTGAGCCCGTGAGCCGCTGTGTGCTCCTGGTCACTCTGATGAATCAACAGGTCAAGATAAAGTAAGTGAAAGCTGCAGCATTTACTCTTCTAACATGACCACCAGCATGTCTCATTTCTCAGAAAAAATAAATAAACATACAATCAACTGGGTTGGAAAAGACCTCCAAGATCATCAAGCCCAACCCTACCATGGTTACTATACCATGGCACTAAGTGCCCCATCCCGTCTTATCTTAAAAACCTCCAGGGATGATGAATCCACCACCTCCCTGGGCAGCACATTCCAATGCCTGATCACTCTCTCCATAAAAAAACTCTTCCTAATATCGAACCTAAACCTCCCCTGGCCGAGCTTGAGTCTGTGCCCTCTTGTCCTGCTGCTGGTTGCCTGGGAGAAGAGACCAACCCCCACCTGACTCCAACCTCCTGTCAGGGAGTTGTAGAGGGTGATAAGGTCTCCCCTGAGCCTCCTCTTCTCCAGGCTGAACACCCCCAGCTCCCTCAGCCTCTCCTCATGGCACTTGTGCTCGAGTCCCTTCACCAGCCTCGTTGCTCTTCTCTGGACCTGCTCCAGCACCTCAATGTCCCTCCTGAACTGAATTGTCTTTCTCATATTTTCTATTTATGAAAAAAAATATATTACTTTATATTGAGAGATATTATGATTTCTTAATCGCATATTGTTTATTCCACATAGAAACTTTTGTAACACCTAAAACCTGCTTTCTTTCCTGGGAATGCAAATGGGCATGGAAAATTCCTTTGTCACTCTGAAGTTTTACCTACAGCATAGCTTTGTGTTTCTGTTTTTATATACAATGCCCTGATACTGCAAAGGGAACTCTGAGCTAAAGCAAACAAGTCAGACACTGCCATGGCTCCCCTTTTTTCAGCCTGAACAAGAAGTTGCTCTGTTCTTTCAAGCAGGAGAAAATCGTGTCTTTTTGAAGCATAAAAGCAAGATGTTCTATTATTCTTTCTTATCCTCTGGACTCTGCAGCTTTATGGATTAACTCAGTGTTGAGTAGTAATTCCTATTTCCTAAAGCTTCTTTTATAATGGAACAGCTGGATTTGCTGTGGATCTGGAACTCTTTGGACATAATAATCCATAAAAATATGGAAAACATTATTCCAGTGAAAGACTAAGCCAATTTAGGCCAAAAGGAGATAGAAAACAAATCACAATGGCCATTAGAAAAATCATATTATTGCCAAAATGGGTATAAACCAAGCAGGCATAGGACAGAGCACTGAAAATTGACATCAGTTTTCCTATTCTGAGTTTGTGTTCACTGTCCAAAATTGATCCAGCCCTAAGATGAAGGCATGACTTAGCACTTCTCATTTCCCTAAGTCTAACTGAGAGTAAATGAAAGTGGTACTATCTTTTCTCATTTCTTAGCCTACACAAAGCCTCAAACCCTCAGTAATTGTCAAAACCCAAGGCTGGTCTTGGGTAGCTGTTGGTGCCCTAGCTGTCATGCAGTTCTGCTTCTTGGGAATCTCCGAAAAGACAATGGAAGTCTGAATTAATTGATTTTTTATTTCTTTTTTTTCAGTCTGGCACGACTTGCACCGAGGGAGAGATCAAAGATTTTCTTTGAATTCACACCTCGGAGGACTGGGCCCTTACAGCTGCAAGTAGACTTCTCTTGTGACAAATTTTCACATGTTAAGGGATTTGTAACAATCTCAGTAGCACCTGCATAATGTGATGGAATCAATCTCCACTTTCAGCATTAACATGGCAAGACATTCTCCTCTGTATAGGAACAGTGATGACAAAGGAACTTGCCACAAAAAAATTGGTGACCTCTCACATTGCAATAGGATCAAGTCTCCTGCTTTCACAGTGCTTAATTTAGTCTCTAATTATATTTCTTTTCCCCCCCTTGATTAAAAAAAAAAAGGAGCCTTTTCTTCATAGAAATAGTTTCACTGTTCTATCAAATCTCATTCTGTTAAGCTCCTGTTTCGACTTCTCCATCAGATAAACAATACAGTCTCTATTCAACCACATTCTAATTATCAGCAATAAATAAAAATCATTAACTCTACCGCTTTGTAATGGATTGTACATTCCACGGAAGTATTATGAGAAAACACAAGACTGAGAAAAGTTTTTTCTTGATTTCACAATACCCTAACCTAAAAGGGCAGAACATTTCCTCCACTGTTCACCCAATTTCTGTGTTTTGTGACACCTCTAACTCTGTGAATGGGGTAAAAAAAAGCCTATGACAATATTTCTATAGCCTGTGGGCCTAGGCCTGCCACAGAGTGGAGAACACAAGCACATATTCAAAACTAACTAAATTCTTAGGTGGCCTGACAGAGTCCCAAACACCACAGAGCACAGGAGAGTCTTACATTAATGTGGCAGCACAGCAACACAAGATAACTAACACTTTTTGCCCACAAGTGTAAGTTCACTGAAGACAAGGAACATGTTTGTCTTCAAAACTTCCCCACATAGGTCATTCATGGGCAGCCCCAACTGAGAATCACAGAATATTCCAGAATATTTAGAGCTGGAAGAGACCCACAAGGATCATCAAGTCCAACTGCTGGCCCTGGACAGGACATCCCTAAAAATAACACCATGTCCCTGAAAGCATTGTCCAAATTCTTCTTGAGGTCAGGCTTGGGACTGTGCCCACTGCCCAAACACCCTCTGGGGAAGAACCTTTGCCTAACATCCAGCCTAAACCTCCCCTGACACAACTTCAGGCCATTCCCTTGGGTCGTGCACTGGTTGCCAGAGAGCAGAGATCAGTGCTGTCCCTCCACTTCCCCTAGTGAGGATGCTGTACACAGCAATGAGGTCTCTGCTCAGTGTCTCCTCCAAGCTGAACAGGCCAACTGACCTCAGTCACTCCTTGTGTGGCTTCCCCTCAAGGCCCTTCACCATTCCTTGCCCTCCGTGCCTGTCGCATTGTTTGTAGACAGATGCCTCTGTTGTGGGTTCCCAATCCCAACGTTTCCAGGTGCCAGATCTCACCTGAAACACACTTGGAAGTAGCTGGAAGGATTCCCTATTACTGCAAGTGCTTCAGCCTCTCCAGGGCTGCTGGGGCAGGTAACGACTGACCAGGCACAGGAACCCCCAGGTCACACTCCAGAGTAGGATGTGAAACAATCATGGTGGGAAAACAGTTCTGCCAAGCCTGAAGATTTATATTTGTGTGGTCTATGAGTAGTTTAAAGCAGAATTAATAAGGGCAAAACCCAGAACCACAGAGCTGTTAGGAGTTGTGGATATAGACATCTTTTGTCTGACAGGTGATAATATTTCAGGGGGTCTGAGGCATCCAGACATAACCACAAATTCTTACTGAAAAAAACCACACAAGGAACCATAACAAAAATTTAGATAATTTGTTTAAAACGTGCATATAAACTGCAGGCAATTATTTTGCCTTATTTGTTCCTGCCAATCTTGATATTGATGTGGAAACAAAACAGAAAACAGAACAGAAAGAGGCACAGTGTAGAGGGGAGAAAAATAAGGGATCATCTCTTCTCCCCTGACACTCATCACACCTCATCACAGTCCACTGGAAGGTCAGAGCAGTGTGAAACCTACTACAGGAACACATTGGCAGGGCATGTTTCTAGATAAAGCATAGCACAGGATGAGGGAGGAGAGAGCTGCACCAGAGGAGAAGAGAGCACCTGTAATTAGAGTGGGCAGTGCTCCCTCCAGAAGAGCAGCTCTGTAGTTTCCTCCAGGGCCCAACTCACAAAGCTATGCCAAATAGCTGCAGAGAAACTATGTACAAGTATTATGAACACCAAACTATAAAGAAAGAAGACATTAACCACTTCTCTTTATGTAAGAAGTCCCTGATGCACAGGTGACTGCACAACAAAGGCCTCTCCACAGGATGCATTGCTTCCTACAGAAGAAGTGAAGATTATAGGGAATCATGTCAGGAACAGATAATGAGAATGCCATAAGATTACTGGAATGCTTCCAGGAAAGAATAAATTATATGCAGTTATGTGAAAAATCTTCAGGTGGACCTGTCTTAAAAGCCACCCAAAAATTGGGACAAAAAAGGTACTGAGTGATAGTAAAGCTAATTATTACCAATCTACTTAGATCACTCCATGTCCTGAATAGCCAAGCTGTATGATAGTTATATTTATCCATACTAACCCTCTGTAAACAGTCTCCAAAAACCTAAACTAACACAAACCAAATCATCCAAAATGAAGTTCTTCTGTCTATTTAAGATTACATTTCCTTCATTAGATCCAATTTGGGATTTTTTTCCTCTCTAAGACACCAGAATACCGATTATCATCTTTCCTCAGTCATTTACCAGTTCTAAATAAGCATAATTGGATTCAAGATTGTGCAATTAAATCAGTCATCAGTGGATGCTCACGTAGGACATCACTACAAAAACAGTAACTACCAACCACAAGTCACACCCAGTTTGTATAAACTCCAGCCTGGTCCAGTCCTGAGCCTTTCATTACTCGTGCTGGTGGAAGAGGATTTAGAGAATTCTTGCACACTTTTGTATCCATAGTCTGAACTTCGCACAAGTGTGGAAAAGAAGAAGGAAACCACATGGCAGGTAAGCTGCAAACAGCCTGATGGCTCCAGACATCACTCTGCCAATCCAGACGAGTGATATTTTGCTGAGGAAACAAGAGAAATTACATCTAGTTGTTCTCTCAGCAACTTAGCCCTTTTTAGGTTAAATGCATTTAAGGGTTATTCTACTAGAACTGATTTTATATTTTCTTGTTTTTTAATGTCATGGGCCTTGAACATATTCTTCTTTCCTATAACACAGAGTAAAAAAAAAAAAAGAGTAAGAAAATATTTTTCTATCATATCAATTAACTACTCCATCCAGTGCTTCTGCAGACATTTAATCCACACTGGTGGGTAGTGACTTGGGCATCAAATTGCCACATGGAAGTCCCAGGCTCTAAATCAAGTGATGTCTGGCCTCAGACAGGTCACTTGGTGGTCTCTGGACTCCCACATTCCCCTCCCTACAGAGGGGCTATGTCACCCTGTGAGCTGCTTTGTCCGAGGGCAATCCCAGTATCTGTGGTGTTCCAGTTGCTCTCACTCTTGTGCTGGCTGGGAAGATCTCTAGTTAGACAGAGGTGTCGTATAATACACACACAGAGGCTATAGCCAAAGACATTTTTCTGTTGTATCTTCAGCTTTCAGTCAAAGGCAAAGAGAACCCTGTGAGTATGATGATCAGCATTTCCAGCAGTGACCACCAACTCCACAGGATTTTGGTTCTGAGCATGCTGCCCGTGTCTGCCCATGAGAGGACAGACACCCAAACAAGGTTTTAGAAGTTGGTTCAATTGTACACTGGCAAAATGATTGAAAATGTTTTTATAACAGACAGTGAAAGCAGAAAAAGATGATATTTAAATTGAAACTGTGAAGATCAAACCAAGTACACATGGACAAAAGACTGTTGTTAGGCTTTAATTGTGCTCTTGCCCAATATATAAATCATTTTTTGCTGATCTCCTGCACATTAACTAGAAACATCTGTGTAGTCATGGACTTTGCAAGGCAAATCAAACTATTAATGCAGCAAATTCTTAGAGTGAACCAGTGCTAGCTACATCCTCCTTTGTCCTTCCTACTTCTCCACACATTCCCTCTTATTCTGTTGGACATCTTCTGTTTGCCTGTGACCTTCCACTCTGAAAGTCTCTAGCAGTACTATTAAGGTCCTTAAACATCTCACTAGCATCAAGCCCATGGCTCAGTTGCCAATAAACCTTATATGCATTACATTTTTGCTTGCAGATGTGAAAATGCTCTTAGTTGTCTGCACAGCTATCAGTGCACAGCTAACGCTGCGTGTGCTCCCTGTCCCTGGACATTGAGCTTGCATGACACACATGGGTGAAGTGCAGCAAGGCTAACTCACTTCTTTACAACCCCCAAACCCAAATATCCTTCAGAAACACATTGTAAGTCACTCCTAAATTAGAGGACTGGATATTAGGACTGCAGGTTCCTTTCAATTACGCATATTTAAGGCAGGAAAATAAAGCGATGATGCAATCGAGACACTTTCTAGACACTGAACATCATGTGACTCAAACATCAAGCTCCTGCCCATGGAATTTTTGTCTCCAGATGATGCACCTGAAGCAAGACCCTCACCTGCAAATGCTTATGGTCACAGACTACAGGAAAGCCACTTGCTCCAGGTCCTTACTGCAGGCTCAGAAATGCACACACACATTCACATTTCTTCAAAAAAGCTGAGAAATGATTACAATTATGATTTCATCAAGCCTTCACAGAACATAACTCCATGCTGCAAACACAGCAGAAAACTCAGCTCCCACCCTTTTTCTACAGTAGAACCTATAGATTCCTCAGATATGAATCACTTTCCAAGCAATTCAAGGTGGTGCCAAGCCAAGTTCAGTGAAATGATGCAAATGTTGCTTACAGCACCATTAGTCTGCAAAGGGTTAACATGCTGTAGTCATGGTAGCAAACTTTCTTCAAGTTAAACTCCTCTGGAATATCCTACCGGGAAATGGCACTTTCCAAACACGTGTTTGCATAGAGGCATCTGTATTTGTTCTGCTTTGTTTTTGTTTGTTTCAGTGGGTTGTTTTTTTAATTCATCAAGGAACAAGAATAGTTGAAAGCTTTTGTAATCTGTGCTTCCGTGCCCCATTTTCAAAGCAACCCA